AAATTAAAAACAAATATATTTTAGATGCTTTATTTTTCAATTTGTGTTTCCAACACTTTAAATTGTGGTACAATAAACAAACACTGGTCAAATGTCTTGACTTACTCACAGGAGAGCACAAGGGGCTGGTTAAGTTGCCTCACTCATTAGTCTTGAACTCTTGTTTATTCCTTCATATTGTCGACGTAAATATTATACACTTTTGTCTGCGAAAATGTATAAAAACGAATTAATGCAGCATCATAAGAGAAATTAAACACAAAATGTGCTTTGAACATCTCATGAAATGCTCCTACAGAGCGTTTGGCCTGGCATGGGTTGAGGCATTTGTCCATGACTATCTAGAAGCTGTTAGTCTTGCTCTTCTGACGCCCAACAGCAAGGAAAGATGGCTGGAGACCCTGTTCACTCCAGCGATGTTCCTCTTAACTACAGCATGACTAGGATTTAATAAATATACACCAAAACATAAGAAATCGACATACAGCTAAAACCCTTAGAAAACAAAATAAGATTCAATTATCTAACAAAAGAAATTCATTGGATGGCGCACATGACGTGCAATAAATATTTATAAACATTAAACGGAAGCCAAGAGTAATAAGTAAAGTTTGTTTTAAAAATATAAGGAATAGAAAGTACAGATACTTGTGTAAAAATATTATGAGAAGAAGTCAGAAGTAGGAAGAAAAATAAGTAATGGAGTAAAGTATAGACCACTGACGGTGGTCAGAGGGCCCGGTGGTGCCAGTGTACGGCAGCCCCGCTTCTGTCATTGAGCCCCAGGGCAGCTGTGGCTACAATGTAGCTTGCCACCATCAGTGTGTGAGTGTGTGTGTGAATGGGTGAATGAATGTAGTGTAAAGCGCTTTGGTCAAGTCTCCTGACTTGAATAAAGGCGCTATATAAGTACATGCCATTTACCATACCTAAAATGTCATGGTCTTGGTTCTGTTGTTCTTTACTTTGCCCCTTGTTTTCTAGTTTTATTGGTTTAATTCCAGTTTTGATGTTAGTTCTCATGTTTTTCTGTTGTCCTCTGTTGCCCTCGTGTGTGTGTGTTCCTTTCCCCTTGGCTCCCTCGTTGTCTCCTCTCACACCTGCTCCTTGTCAGCTCGTTAGCCCTGCCTTTGTCTCTCTCTGCTATATATGCTCTCCTTCTGCTCTCACTCTTTGTTGGTTCCTTGTCTTTGCTGTCCTCCCATGCTGTGGTCTACGTTCTTCGTCTCTCCCTGACTCCTTGTGTTTTGTTCCCCCAGATGTCTCCATGGTTCTGGTTTGCTTTATATTTTTCATGTTGGATTTTTGGATTCCCGCTCTGTTTCCTGTGTTTATATCATTAAAGCTGCAAGAAATCTCCTCAGCCTCTGCGCCTCTGCATTTGGGTCCTCAGACCACAACTAAACCCTGACATAAAAAGTGTACTTAGGTACAGTCATGAAGTATTTGTACTTCGTTACTTGACACCTCTGTCCCTGACTATCTTTTAAGTTTATATTATTCACATTTTTAATCTAACTATTGATAATAAATAGTAAGACAGGATCTTGTGAATTAAGCTAGTTTTGTTGACTGTTTGTTAGTCCTTGTGCTGCTTTAATTGGGTGGGATTTATTCTTTAGTGAGGATTGATTAAGTTCTTACAGACATTAGGTGTGAATTAAACTGTTACTTTAGTAATACATTGAAGTGTTCAATACTTATTTTAACAAATGTATTTCTTTGTTGAATCCTCCTCTTCAAATAGTTCCCAATATGATTAAAATATAAAACAATACATCTTAGTGTTATGCAGTCAGGTTTAGATTAAATTTCACCCCATTACTTAAACTTTAACCCAGATAGCAAACTACTGTCTATAAACAATCTAGCTTTAAAAACTGAAACACTTTCAAAAGTCAATAACAAAAGGAAAGGGTTTGATGTGACTTGATTATGAACTGAGATTTTTTCTCATCTGTTCCCAGTTTACTGTTGATGAACTGAATGCTGAACTCCCCTACTGGTGGAATTTACATTTGATTCCATACAACCCAGAATTACTAAAACATTATTTCATGATTTTCTATGGAAGGGAAACTTTTTCTCTGTTTGTTCGGTAAGAAACCACTACAAGCAATATTTGGTGTAGAGAGATGAGTGTTTCTGAGTTTTAAAGTGGTTTAAAGTAGACTTTCAACAGCTCTTGTTTAAATGCTGTAGTGACATCTGGTGGAAAACGTCTTCCACCTCTGTTCTTTGGTTCATCCTCATATCTCTGCTCTGGTCCAGAAGGTGTCTCAGTCAAACTGCAAAACTCATTCAACGACAGAGTAAAATTATTGCAGACACTGATGTCTAAGATTAAAATCGAGTCAAATCTCAAATTAATTAATATTTTCTAATCAAATTCTTCCATTCTAGTCCTCCTCTAACATCACCTTGCTGGAGATTAGGAAACCAGGTCCTCTGCTGCTACTTTATCACAGAAACATTGATCAACAGTTATCTCTTATATGCCTTTAAAACCAATAATTCAACATGGAAAACATAAGAGATGCTTTTATTTATAATAGATATAAATATGGATTTATGTTAAAAGAAACACGGGAAAATCTCAAACCTGAAACTGAAATCAAGAGTCAACAGTGGCTTCCTTGTTACTGGTCAAGAAATAACAAAGCAATAAAGGAAATACTATACTATATTTAATGTACCATTTAAACAGAAATTAAAATGAGAAGAATGTTTATGTGGAAACATTAAACCACTGATTGAATTACGTGTACATGAATCCTAAATATTTTTTATTACCTTCATTCAGACATGGGCAATGTGGAGTCAACAAGTCATCTCCATGTCATGTATTGGTTCTACCCAGCCAATTAACCAGGTGAGTCCAATCTTCACCGTGAATTAACCAGGTGAGTCCAATCTGCACAGGTTAATTCACGGTGAAGATTGGACTCACCTGGTTAATTGGCTGGGTAGAACCAATACATGACATGGAGATGACTTGTTGACTCCACATTGCCCATGTCTGCCTTCATTTTTATTACCCCAAGGAGGTTATGCTTTAATCGCCGTTGATTTGTCTCTTTTCAAAATCTAAATTTTGTTTACATTTTCAGAGAAGGTGTGTATTGTGGCTAGCACGATCAAGATCACCATCAGGATCTAAGATTTTAAGATTTCTGGAATACAGGTATTAACTTAAGGTGGTAGTCATAATCTGTTGTAGGAAATGAGCCACTTGGTGGAAGTCTGCGCTCTCCAAGTGTTTTTTTCTAGTTAGATAAAGTTATTAGCACTACAATAAGTCTGAAGGTTCCTAAAATATGGCAAATATGAAGAAAACACAGGTTTTGTATGACTTTTAATTGGTGGTATTAATATCTAACGTTTAGAATAGGGGTGGGTATTGGCAAAGAAGTCATGATTCGATTCGAATCACGATTCACATGCCACGATGCAATTCTATCACGATGCATCATGATACTTGAAATATTGCGATGCTTTGCGATATTTTCACTGAACACTGTAAGAAAAAGATACAGCCCTTACCAGTGGCTGACTGGCTGGGTATGATCTGGATAGTGTCTTCAATGTATACATAAATGAAAGCAACTGAATTCATACATAGCTGTATTTATTGAAATGACTTTTGGAGGTGTTGCCATGAAAACAAATACTGGACACAAATATTACTATTACTGGTGTGGACACACTGACAAAAAGATCTTAGGATTCATCAAACTTAAAATAACAAAATAAGGATAATCAGTGCTGTTTACATGGCCTCAGTGGTCCTTTAAACCAATGAAATGAAAACATTCAAATGTATGACGTTTCCCCTTTTGCAATTTATGTGCGTCATATCAATTTCGTTTTTACCTTCTTGGTTTTTAAAGCCAAAATGCATCCAAGCATCTGACTTGAAATGGGATGGAACCGCGATGTCGCTACCCGATCCGTACCGGTAGCACGATCCGTACCATCAGCTCATTTGCGCCTGCGCGAACAGAATAACTTCCGGGTCGCCAAAAAATAATGTAATTACGGTACTGAAAAAACTTTATTTATATCCTTAAATAATTAAAGAATACTAAACTACATTGTTAAGACAATATTGAAGACTTTTCTGGAAGAAATGGATGCTTTTTAAATTCAATCCATTGTATTGCTTGACGTCGTCATCAGACATGCTAAGAGCAGTCTGGGAATATATTATGAAAAACTGCAGGTCACGAAAGGTAGCAAATGAATCCATTGTGGAATCAGTACTGCTGGAGTGCATAGTTAAGTACAGAGTAAATCAAATTTTTAAACAAATTTAAATATATACGCTGTGTGACGTATATTTGCGCATGCTCAGAGCAGTCAAAGTAACTATCACAAGGCGATTGAACTTTTTTATGTATTTCTGTTTTTTTATTTTTAGAAAATGCAATATTGATGAAAATACAAAGATATACAAAAAGAAACCCATGCTTCTAAAAAATACTAAAGAATAAAAAAGTAAGAAAAAGGAAATATTGCGACCGGAAGTTATTCTGTTCGCGCAGGCGCAAATGAGCTGATGGTACGGATCGTGCTTCCGGTACTGATCGGGTAATGACACGCGGGGCAAATTTTCATAGTGTCCTCCATGTTTTATTTCATATGACTCGTCGCAGTATCCCACGGCCGGACATGCTTGTGACACAAGGCAGCGGGCGTCAACACATCCGCAGCGACATCTGCTGGACTGGAAGTTGTATTCCACTTGGTTTGGCTGATGTGTACCAACCATTCATGTATTTTATTTGTTCATTTTTTTTTTTTAAATAATCGATTCTTGCCTTCAAGAATCAATGCAGTAGATCACAAAAATTAGAATTGCGATCCATCGCCATGACGATTATTTTGCACACCCTTAGTTTAGAATCAATGCAACTTATCTTTATTTTGACATTTTATTTTATTTTTTCTAATTTTTAGAAAACAAAATTTTTAATAATAATAAAATATACTCTCAATGTTTTTGTACGTGTCATTAATGAAACCTTAGAACAATATAACATTTTAAGCAAAGTTTGTCTGACCTTATTCACAATGTGCTATTTTTAGTAAAAACAGTCAGCATATTTCAAATAAATACTTTATTTTAGGAAATTTAAAGAGTGTTTCTTTTTAGAAATCAAAAAACGTTAATCGGAAAAGTATAATTTCCGGTCGGTATGTCACAACTTAATCCAGAAATTACAGAATAAAAACTATCATAAAATAGTTTGATAAAGAAGATACATTTTTCAGTTTATTTCTGTTTCTTTCAGCTAAAGGCTTTTATAACAGCAGCTTTGTTCTCTTGTACAGGCCAAAACATCTTGTTTAGTTGTCTGGTTCATTTTTGCTTTTGCTTATTCCCATTCAGAAGAACAAAGCTTCATCTGTTACATGTTTCCTGTTCAGCGGTTAATGAAACCAGCTTGTACTGATATGGTTCCTCACAGCTGAATGAAGCGTGGCTGGTGGCCCTCCTCGCTTCTGATTGGCTCTGTGCTGTTGTGGACCTTCATATGGACGTCCCTGGAGCGTTTCTCCTGGTAGCTTTTCCCACAGACCGGGCAGCTGTAGGGCTTCTCTCCAGTGTGGGTCAGCAGGTGTTTCTTCAGGTCGTTCTTGGTGACGAAGGCCTTCCAGCACAGGTGGCACTTGAAGGCCCGCTCCTTCTTGTGGAAGCGGATGTGGGTCTCCAGGTATCCTTTGGTGCTAAAACTTTTGTTGCACAGGCTGCAGCTGAACGGTTTCTCTCCAGTGTGTGTCAGCATGTGTGCATTCAGCCCTCCCAGTTGCCTGAAGGCTTTCCCACAGATGCGGCATGGAAACGGCTTCTCCCCCGTGTGAATCCTCATGTGCACCTCCAGGACTTGTAGAGACGACAGACTCTTCCCGCAGATCTCACAGGAGACACGGCTGACAGGTCGATCGGTGGAGTGCTTCCTGATGTGCGCCGTCAGAGAGGTGCTCTCTGTAAATGTCTTCCCACAGAACTCGCAGATGTATGGGCGCTCCCCACTGTGGATCCTCTTGTGTCGCCGCAAGGCGCTGGGACGTGGGAAGGACTTCCCACAGATGCTGCAGGGGTATGGTCTGATGCCCGTATGGCTCCGCATGTGGGTCTCAATGTTCTGGAAGGTGTTTCCACAGATGTGGCAAACCTTACCTTCTTCCCTGTGACCCTGCAGGTGGTGGGTCAGCGTCTCAGATGGCGGCAGACATTCACCGCAGACTCCACAGACAGACTCTGAGGAGTGGCTCTTAGCATGCTTCCTTAGATTTCCTTTGCCTTGAAAAGTCTCCCCACAGACTTTGCAGGAGGATGATGGATAACCTGACATCTTGCCATTTTGACCGTCTGCGTTTCCACTCTGGTCGTTCTCTTGAGACTCGGTGTCTGCTATACTGCTGACGTGTTGACGCTTGGAGCTGTGGATCCTCTTGTGTCGCCTTAGGGCGCCAGGTCGGGGGAAGCGTTTGCAGCAGATGGAACAACGGTACGGCCTGAACCCTGTGTGGATCCGCATGTGTGTCTCCATGTTCTGGAAACTCTTTCCACAAATGGTACATGTCCCACCGGTCTCTCTGTGAGACTGGAGGTGAGTCTGTAGGCCGTCTGATGAATCTAGCAGCTTTCCACAAACTCCACACATGCATTTGGAGTCGCTACTGTGTGTCTCTGCATGTTTTGTTAAGAAGCCTGGGCGGTGAAATGAATCCCCGCAGACTCTGCAGCAGAGCGAGGGGTTTTCTTTCTGACTTAATGTCTCTGACTCATCATCCTGTCTTATATCATCCCCTTCCCTCTGATCTCCATGTTTCTTTAGGTGCTCCAGCTGGTTCTCAGCAAACGTCATTCTACCGTTCTGGCGGGAGTTGAGCTTCCCTGTGCTGTGAATCTTCTTGTGCCTCTTCAGGGCTGCAGCTCGTGGGAAGCTCCTGCTGCAGATGTCACAGCTATAGGGTTTCACCCCGGTGTGGCTCCTCAAGTGTGTCTCAATGTTCTGAAACATCTTCCCGCAGACGTTGCAGGTCCTGCTTGTGCAAACGGAGTCCCTGTGGGAGCTGAGGTGCTCTGATAAGTCTTCTGAAGCCTTGAGGCGTTTTCCGCAGACTCCACAGAGATTCTCTTGGCAGTCTGCATGCTTTTCCACATGTCTCACAAGGTTTCCTTTGTGACGGAATGTTTTACCACAGATTACACAGCGATAACAGGCGGGTTTATCTGAAGAGGCAGTCTGACCTTCTTCATCTTCTCCGTCTCTTTCTTTCTTGTCTGTGTTTTTGATACTGATCCATTCCTCATCACTCTCAGCGACAGAAACGTCTGAGGAGGCAGAACTTACTGGATCGGACGTCAAACGGAGGCTTTCATCTTTTACGGGCATCTTGACTGCAGAGGAGCAGATGGGAACTGAAAGAGAGAGATACTGTCTTTAGCTTATGCCAATAATTCAACTTTTTCCCCGCATCTTATTACATTTTTAATTTCTGATTTGATTTGACGAGATACGGTCCAACACAGGCCATAATACGGAGGTAGATGGAAAATGCTAAGTGATGTTTTGTGTTTTTGAGGAATCTAAATGGTTTGGCACACATGTCTGTTTTATGGACTTTAAAAAAACACAATACAAGTAATACTTCTGTTGCTTTGCTTCCAGTCATTAAAGACAAGGTAGATAAACTAAACAGTGTGCATAACAGTGGTGATTTCTCACTGAATACTAGGGAGGCTAAAGCTCCACTGTAATTTTTATAAAATTATTGGTAAAATATGTATTGAAAAACTTTGGAAATATAGTTATTAATCTGGACTAAACATGCGCTAAAATGCTTCTGATTATATTGCGTATAGTACGTATCTCTCCTGGAGCAGAAGGACGCTGATGATCAGCCTCTATGCTACAGGTTTGAGCCTCTTATTTATTGAGGTAAGCAGCGAGAAAGTAGAGCCCTAAATGGATAACACCCAACAATATGTCCCTTCCAGGGAGGCTAAACCTCTTAGAGGATCTATGGAGCAGGAGCTGGTGGTGAAGCTGGCTGCTTGATGCTGATTGGCAAACATACTTAAGGATTTTTGACTGACAGTGGCCAGACAGCAAGGAGGTTTTCCTCATGAGTCGAGAGGGAAAAGTGATCATTCAGTCAGAACAGTTATCAAGTGCTGAACTCTTACTGGAGTTTATTATTTCAGAGCGCTTCACAGCAGCTATTTTCCCCTGTTGTATGTTTTATATGTTTCAACATTTGTTATGCGATATGTGACGTTTGCATCTGATTAACACAATTGAGCCTCCCCTGTTTCAGAGAACAGCAACAGCCACTGGTACAAAACTACAGACCAATTGCTCTTGCCAGCACTCTTTAAAAAGTGTTGAGACTGTTGCTTTCACTATATTAAAAATGTTTGTCTTGACAAGTGATAATCACTTTGGATTTAGAAATAAGGCATGACACAGAAGTGCATTTATGCACTAAAAGAAATTGTGGGAAAATATTTTAGGTTTAGCACTTCAGTTTTTCTGTGCATTATTGATGCTATAATTGGATTTCATTAAGTAAACCATTCTAAGCTATTTATAGACGTATGCCAAGATATTCCATATGGATCCTTGTCTCTTGGAATGCAAATTAACTCATGTACATAAAATTGGATAAAGCCATCTCAGAATGTTTTCGTGTTTGTAATGGTGTCCGAAAAGGTGGAATTCTTTCTCCAGCTCTATTTAATGTTTACATTAATGATTTGTTATCACTGTTAAATGGTTATAGGACAGGGAATTTTGTTTTTGGTACATCAGTTATTAACCACCTCATGTGCGCAGATGATCTGGTGATGATCAGCCCATAAAGTTTGGGTATGCATCAGCTGTTAAATCTGTTCTGAGTTTGGGATAGCATATGAAATTATGTAAAACACCACAAAGAGAAATATAATGATTGAGAGAAGCAAGGAGGACAAGGATGTTGTATTCCACGTATGTCATATATTTGGAAACCTATCATGCATGAAGAAAAGTTCCTGGGACATTTCATCACTGATGACTGGTGTGATAAGAGACATTAAAAAGCAATATTGCAAACTGTATTTAAAAGCAAATATGCATCTATATGAATTTAGAATGTGTTCTCCTAATGTGAGATGTACAATATTCAGAAAACCATCTGTAGACCCACAGTGGCCTAAAAGGACACCTTTGCCTAGTGCTTAGGGAGCCCAGGTGGTACAGTCAGTTATTTGTGGATGCTCATATACCCACCTGTGAGGCACTGCAAATATATTTAATGTTTAAATTTATGCAGCAAGAACTTCGGAGAATTTGAGTAATCAGGTTTTGAAAAAACCCCTATTTGAGCAGCTACAGTATATACACTAGGGCTGGAACAGTTCACAAAATCCACGGTTCGGTTCGGTTCACGGTTTCGTGGTCACGGTTTTCCGTTCGGTTAGGTATATATTTATTGTTAGCATGACATGTTGGTCATGTTGCTGTTAGCATAACAAAACGTGTTGCACAATGCTTGCACACTGTTGCACTTTTATCCACAACTTTCTTTCCATTGTCATCGTAGGTCACTCTAAATGCAAAGTGGTCCCATACAGCAGACCTATAAAGTGCTGCTGGCGCGTCTTCCAACTCCTGTTCTTTCCCACTCGCCATACCCACACAATTCTCCACAACAACTGATTTTTTCTGCTACACCCGGCTACGCTGCTTCGCTTCTTCTTCTTGTTTACTACTGGTGGTTGGCTTTGGTCGCGGTACCGCCACCTTCTGCTCTGGAGTGTACACGCTTCGCTTATGAGAAAAAGGAGTAGCGCATGAACCGAACGCAACACACGCGAATCGAACCGAGACAGTCGAACCGAACGGTTCGGAAGGTTTTCATAAACCGTTCCATCCCTAATAGATGCTCATCTGTTCTGAGAAATCACCAGTTGGATAGAATCAAAATTAAAGTCTTTTTATATTTTTACATCTTGTTTTTGTTGTTGTTTTTCTTTTTAACCAAATTGGACCTTTCCTGTGTCTGCAATAAAGAATAGAATATGACTGGTGAGAGGAGAATATAAGTGGTGAAAGGTCCCATGGTAACACTGGAGGAGCTGCAGAGATCCACAGCTTAGGTGAAATAAAAGCATCCCTTTATGGAAGCTGGGTGTGAAGAAATTCATGGTTGAAAGAAAGAAAAATTCTGATTAGACGAAAAAATATTTATAGGCTAGAATGACCCAGTTAAAGTCCAAACAGAAATCCGAATGACGAGACCTAAAAGTTACAACTTAGTTTAAAGAAAGCCAGTTTGGGTTATCATAAAACATGATTATCTTTAAGTTCCTTTTTACTTTCTGTTGGTTTCAGAATGAAACTCTTTTTGTTTTTGTTTGTTTAATGCTGGTTTTCTTTATTTGGTGCTTTAGAATAAAGTCTACAGTGTGTGTTTATAGTTCCTGGAAAGATAATAGGACTCTTGGACTTAGACCTCGAAGAAAACAGGAAATTGGTATCAGCCAGGCATCAGTAATAAAAATGTTTTTTATCACAATCAGGACAAGAGAGGAATGCTGCAGAAGAATTTCAGATGTGCAAATAAGTCCATTTTAGTTTTGGCATAAAACTTTATTCTTGGTTACTTTGTACAGTTTAAGTCTAGTTTTGGTTCATGTTTAAATCACTGCTACTCAGAATCAAATAAAGTAATGATGCTATCATTTGATCTGGGCATATTTTTAGCCTTGTCGAAGCAGCAGGCTAACAGATTTCTCAGAAATTGTAAATGATGAGATGAAAAATAAACAGATGAAATCAGATATCTTTCTACAATGTATGAAAAATCCAACCAACAGTTTTTCCTCTCATTGAAGCTTCAGGTTTTGAGCATTGCTTTACAAGCTGCTGATACAGAGTCAGGTTTGTGGTATATAGAGTTTGAGTTTTTTTACCTAAACTGTGGCACTGCATTGGTAAATTGTTTCCAACCTAAATTTCAGCACCCTAATGTGTTTGTTCCACATTAGGGTGGAGTCCTTAGCTGAAAGAAGACCCATTTTTTCCTCCGAATGTAACCATGATCTCAGCAGACTGCATCAAATGTCTCTGAAAAAAGTTGCAACCTATGTTTTTGCCTTACAGACTAATGCTTCTTCCTTTCTGAGTGGACTTATAGCAATCATCAGTGCAGGACTTGTTACACTGTGGAGAATGAAAGATATGGAGGCGTTTTGCTTTTCTTCCAGCTTTGCCTCACATTTCACATCTGGGACAGAGACTCGGTTTCCTTCCTGAATGGTATAAAGGCCGGACATTTCAACTGTGTTTAGACACATATCATTACTTAACAGATCATTATAGACATCAGGCATCTGGAAACTGAACCTATGGATGAAATAACATTTTTTAGCTTAACGATTCTCTCTCTGATATTTCCATGGGTGTGTCTCTAATTAACTTATAAGCTGTAAATTGACTTATCAGAGGCTTACAAAGTTCTTAAAACATCACCAAAGCTCTCCCAAATGTTTAAAAGTCATCATAATCTTATTCAAATGTTAAAAAAAGAAAATTTGAAAAAAAAAATCTATTACTCTGTATTTTTGGTAACCATGTTAATTAAAAAGTTATGTTAAAAAGTTTTTGTGAGACTGAGAGAGTTGTCTCTGTAAAACGCCTTAAGATGACAGGTGTTGTGAACTATATAAATAAGGTAAATTGAATAGAAAACACTAAATATCTGGTGTCAAATGCATTTAGCTTATTAATCCTTTTTTATAATCATCTTTATTAACGGTTTCTGGTGATAATATAGAACGGAAACTACAGCTTAAGCACCTCAATATTCCTGCAGCTCAGTGTGTGACATATGGCTCCCACCCTCTCCAAATTTAATAAACAAAAAAAAATGGTGGTTTAAACAGAAATCTTGTTGGAGGATTAATGGCAAACCAATTCTTCTGCGACTTACAGTGACACCGGTCACTCAGAACTTCTCAGTGAGAGGATCCCAGGTGGTCTAGGCTACATTAGTCTAGGCCTGAGCAATGTGCAAGGAGATATAGACGCTGTTTGCTGCCACTGGGTGTCAGGAAACTATGAAACAGGACACAGCCAGTCCACATCAGTTCCAGTGCTTCTAATAAATACCTGGGAGTTTTGTTCTCCCACCATTTGACATTAGAAATCACTACTCTAGTTTTTCTCAAGCACCAGATATGCGGAGCATTAAAAAAAAACAAAAAACAACTCAAATTCAATTCAATACCAAATTAAATAAGTCAAACAGAATTGTTATGCAATAAAATACAATTTTAATGAATATTAGTTAAGTTTTATATCAATATATATAGAATTTTTATTAATTTTTACATTACTGAATATACTTTGAATTAAAGAGGAACATTTACCTTCAAATTTACCGAGCTGGCTTCACCGCCTCGACTCTCCAGCGCTTCCAAAATGTCTTCACTGACTTTAGAGAGGAGCTCAGACAGTGAGTCGGTCAGAGACCGGAGTCCGAAGCTCTGAGAAAACACTGATAGATTCATCCCGGGACTGGGTCCCGTAGTTGTTGTTTCTAAATCAGTCCGGTTCATCAAAGGACTGATCGCAGGTCACAGAAAGGAGGAGCGCCCCCTGCAGGAAGGAGGTCGCTAAACACGCCCAACGATTTCAGTGGGTCATTTCCACTAAACATTCACAATAGTAAAATAAAAATAGTGCTTTTAGTATTTACACTTCATAGATGTCTTCCACCTTCTTTGAAAAAATGAAAATTTTCAGCTGTTTCAACTTTACAAGGAGGTCACAAAATATGATTAACTACCAGAGGACGAATAATAAACTTACTGGGGAACAGCCAGCCCATTATGGGACTACTGCTCAGTTACCTAGGAAACACAGACTAATTAATCCAGAACTAATGGGTAGTTTCACTTTACTTATGAGTAAACAAAAATATTAGTTAATGGTCAGCTAGTTATTAAGTAATGAATACTCCCACAGTAACTATTTCATATGATGTTTCACTTTACTCTAGGGTAGATAAGCCTCAGAAAATGGTCAGCTACTGAGCAGGTCATTATTTGGTCCTAGTAAATACATGAAATGTTGCTTGACTCAGAAAATTAAACAACATAATAGCAAGGCAATAATTTGATACTAGGTAAAGTATTGTTTCGTCAGCTCTGACTTCAAAGGTTTAGGGTTTATTTAGAGCCAACGCTGAGTATTTATAATCTAATCTTGGGGTAATGAACCAGTAGTCTCTAAATAAGCACCGGTTAACTATCCTTTAGTTCCTGACTAGTTTCTCTTTGGTTTTGTTATTAACTATACTTTAATTTCTATTTAGTAACTCTTTATTTTCTTAGTAACTACAAATTAGTTCCCAAATGACTCTGTGTCTCCCCAATAATTCAGCAGCAGTCACATAATAATGATGGGCTGCGTACGGCCCAGTAAGTATCGGTTAACTACTCATTAGTTTCTTATTAGTCCTCTAAGCATTCAAACCAGACATTATGCACTTGAAATAAGACACTGCTCTTGTTTTTTTCTTATTTTAAATGGAAATTGCCTTAATCCATTTGCAAAATGTCTCACTTACCTACTCCTTTCAAGAAAAAAAATGCACTTAAGAACTGACTTACTTAGATTTATATTTTTTGCAGTGTGTTAACAGCACCAGCGATCAGGGGGATAAAGATGACAATGGTTGGCTTTTAGGTAGCAGCTAATTTCTTGGTATTTCTCTAAAATCTATTAATTTTTTGAAATAACTGTTTTTCTCATACTTTGCCTTCATTACGACAGATTTGTGTAAAAAAAAAAACTTGAAAATGGGTTTCGTCTCTAATTCTGGAGAGAAACACACATAGATTTAAAGTCTCACATTTTGGAAGCCCAAAAATAATGGAAACTATCTGTAGAAGAAAAACAAACACTATTTCTCACAATGAAATAAACTTTTACTAAAACACAAGAAATCTGATTCACAATTATGAACTGGGCACGTCTGTCCATCTCACAAAGAATCCCAGACAGATTAGAGAAGCCAATAAAACAGAAAAAGACAAAAGCTTATCATACAATTAACATATTACAACCTCCCGTAGTGTCACAAAACATCACTCTTTTAGTTTAATCAAATTCAGAAGAACATGCTTCTGAACTGGTAAAGCCTATAAAACAGAAATGCATGTCTGCATGCAAAGATATGGAAAAACAAACAGTTGACGGCTTCTGTTCAGTAAAACCAGGCTAACTTGTGACCCATAATGTACATAATGATTAAAAGAAGGTAATGCGGACGGGCCCGTATGGGTAACAGAGAACAAGCATCATCCATAAACATCAGTGACGACGCTTCAATGCTCAGTCTAGCAATTGTTGGAAAAGGAAAAATATATATTTCAATGGAAACAAATATGTTTTAGCTATATTAGAACCAGCATCAGAAGTTTCATTAGCCTGTTTTAGTGTCTTATAACCACAGATAAATATGATGATCTTTGATCAGCGCCTTTAAAATAAAAGTAAAAGCCAAAACAAAACAAATAAAAACAGTGTTTATAATTATGTGAAAAAATAATCTTTTTTTCAAATTTCTTTTAACGACTAACAATCCACTGGATTCGTTGTAAACATAGGTGTAGTGAAGTGTGGAGACTCTCCCAGAAATAAAAACAATCCAAAGGAGAGAAAATGTCTGTAGTGTAAAAACAAAAACATCCAGGAGATAGAGCAAAATTTTTAAACTGATACCATCACAGAGACAAACCAGTAATAGATCTTAGCAGACCATAATTGACGTGTACGAGTATGATTGAACACATTCTATACTATTGTTAATCGCACTTCAGCTGATATGCAGGGAGGTAAATACTACTTTTGTTTTATTTTCATTGCAGTTGGCTCTTGCTTCTGCTTTTGTATGAATGCAGACATATTTAGTTTATGATTTAAAGGCATTGAGGCCGAGATTTTATGACATGCACATGTCCACACTGTTAAACGTTTCCTTACTGTGAGCAGATTATTAAAATTACTTTGAACCAACTGTCTGAGTGGGTGCATGGTCTACATCTCAGGTCAAATGGAGGTTTATTTATTATTATCACAAACTCTATGGGGAATTTAGGTGGAATTACTATGATGAGAACTCTAAATATGTATATGTAAATATCTAAGATACCTTGGTATTTCAGGTGGCGTTTATTCAGGATTCAGCAAATCTCTATTTAACATTAATCACCACAAAAAAGATGGATTTTAATCATCAGGATGCCTTATCTTTAGTCATTTTTAAGGAAAGCCTTTCTGCTTGATTCTAGAGGTGTACAGATCAGTTGGCAGAGTTCCCCAGATCGGCTCTGAGTGATACAGGTAAAGACTCTTTGATGCACAACCGTTGATGATCTGGTAATTCCTTCATTTTCAGAGCCAAAAACTTCTCACCCTATTATGGAACTGACATTTTTTCCATTTTTTAAGTTTGCACTTAGAAAAACTAAACTAATCAGTGAAGCGTTCAGATCAGCAGACCAGAAAACAAAGAAAAACAGAACTATGGATCCAAGGAGAAACCTGACTGCTGTATCCTTATAGACCATCTGCATCTGAACAAAAAGCAGAGCAGGTCTTTTCCTAATCCAACAATTTTTTCAGCAGTTCTAGAAACAGTTTGGAAAGAACATCCCTAAATGCAGAAAAGGGTTAGGTCCTGGTCTAAAGCTGGAAGTTCTCAGGAAAATAACTCTCCACCCTCTCTTCCTCTGCGTAGTCCACATTACCGCTGGCTTCATGCACTTTGATGTGACCGTTGAGCGACCGCCTGGCCTGGAAGCTCTTCCCGCAGATCCTGCATACGTACGGCCTCTCTCCCGTGTGGATAAGGATGTGTCTCTTCAGGTCCACATCCTGCATGAAGCCTTTCCCGCACACCTGGCACAGGAAACGCCTCTCCTTGTTGTGGAAGCGGATGTGGGTGTCCAGGCTGTTTTTCTGGGTGAAGCCCTTCCCGCAGATGCTGCATGAAAAGGCCCGCTCGCCTGTGTGGATCCTCATGTGCATTTTTAAGTTGCCAATCTGGTTGAAGGCCTTTTCGCAGAAGCTGCAGGTGAAGGGTTTCTCTCCCGTGTGGATTCTTAAGTGCATCAACAGCGCTGATCGACCTGGGAAGGATTTCCCGCAGGTTTCACAGGTTCTGGCAGCGACTCGATGGAAGCGCAGGTGAGTGTTGAGGCTGTCGATAGAGTCAAACTGGCTTCCACAAACCCCGCAGCAGCAGTTGGGGTCCTGCCCATGAGTCCCTGCGTGTCTGACTAACAGAATCTTCCGGTCAAAAGCCTCCCCACACACTTTGCAGTTGGACACCACTGAAGTGCGACCTTTATTGGTTTTAGGAATAATGTCCCCATGAGTGGTCGCCATGTGTTTACGCAGATCTTTCCGCTTGCTAAACGCCTGATTGCAAAGGCTGCAGGAGATGATCAGCTCTTCATTGTGCTCCTCCATGTGGCGCTCCAAGGATGTCAAGTGGCAGAAGGCCCGGGGGCACTTCTTACATTTGAAAGGCTTTTCTGCAGCGTGGACCAGCATGTGAGACACCAGGTTAGTCTTCTGTCTAAACATTTTGTCACATTTGGGGCATGCGTGTGGCTTTTCTCCAGTGTGGATGCGGAAGTGCAGCTCCTGCGCCCTGATGGAGGTGAATGTTTTCCCACAGATGGAGCATGTTTTGGTGTTCTGCTGGTGAGCCTGCAGGTGAGCCATCAGACTGTCAGCAGTATCTGAAAGCTCTCCACAGAAGCCGCAGCGGCACTCCGGGTTGCTGCTACACACCCTGAGAGCGTGCTGCAGCAGGAAGCCTTTTCCAGGACAAAGACGCCCGCAGACGTAACAGCTGAAACTCTCTGTAGGAGGTGCCCTCTTTCGTTTCTTCACTTCCCCTACAGGTTCAAGACCCAAAAGCTCTCTCTTTTTTTTCCCAAGAGATCCAAGAGGCCGACCTCGCTTCTTTTTCTCAACAGCTCCTACAGGCTGACTTCTTTCTTGTCTCCCAACAGATCCGAAATGCTGACCTCTCTTCTTTTTCCCACCTGACCCAAAGGGCCTTCCTCTTTTTCTTCTGCCTTCGGATCGGAGAGGCAGACTGTCCATCCAGTCGTCGTCCTCATCGGTGGTCTCAGAGGCTGGCTCGTGGTAGGATGGGGAAGAAGAGCGTGGTGATGACGGGCAGGAAGCGTCGCTGATGTTATGATCGGACTCAAAACGACTTAGGTTTGGTGGGTTGAACTGAGGTGGAAGGTCTGAGTCATCTAAGGTCACGATTTTTAGAAGGTCTGAAAAGAAAAAAGTCACACATGTGATCAGACTTTAAAGATCAAAGGAACAAACAGTTTTGAAGACTGACCTCCCCATCATACACATTTTCTAAACAGATATTTAAAATAATAGGAACACTCACTTCAGCATTGAAATACGAATCTACCACTGTGTAAAGATATATGAAAAATAAACAAACCAAGGTGGAGATATTTTAAATGATAGAAATCTATTTAGATTTATTAATCATACACACATTCACACACACACACACACACACACACACACACACACACACACACACACACACACACACACACACACACACACACACACACACACACACACACACACACACACACACATATATATACCGTGTATATATATATATACTCAAAAAAATTAAAGGAACACTTTGTAATCAGAGTATAGCATCAAGTTAATTAGACTTCTGGGATATTGATTTGGTCAGGTAAGTAGCAGAGGGGGTTGTTAATCAGTTTCAGCTGCTTTGGTGTTAATGAAAGTAACAACAGGTGCACTAGAGGGACAACAACGAAATGACCATCACACAGGAATGGTTTTACAGGTAGAGGCCACTGACTTTTTTTCCCCTCCTAATTTTTTCTGACTCCTTTTCACCAGTTTTGCATTTCGCTAGGGTGACTGTCACTACTGTTAACATGAGGCGCTACCTGGGCCCTACAGAGGTTGCACAGATAATCCAACACCTCCAGGATGGCACATCAATACGTGCCATTGCCAGAAGTTTTGCTGTGTCTCCCAGCACAATCTAAAGAGCATGGGGGAGATTCCAGGAGACAGGCAGTTACTCTAGGAGAGATGGACAGGGCCGCAGAAGGACTACAACCCATCAGCAGGACTGGTATCTGCTCCTTTGTGCAAGGAGGAGCAGGAGGAGCACTGCCAGAGCCCTACAAAATGACCTCCAGCAGGCCACTGGTGTTAATGTCTCTGACCAAACATCAGAAACAGACTTCACCAGGGTGACCTGAGGGCCCAACATCCTCTAGTAGGCCCTGTGCGTACTGCCCGGCACTGTGGAGCTGGATCGCCCTGTGCTTTTCATAGATGAGAGCAGGTTCACCCTGAGCACGTGTGACAGACGTGAAAGGGTCTGGAGAAGCCATGGAGAACGTTATGCTGCCTGTAACATCGTTCAGCATGACCGGTTTGGTGGTTGGTCAGTGATGGTCTGGGGAGGCATATCAATGGAGGGACGAACAGACCTATACCGGCTAGATAACGGCACCCTGACTGCCATTAGGTGTCAGGATGAAATCCCCACACCCATTGTCAGACCCTATGCTGGTGCAGTGAGTCCTGGGTTCCTCCTGGTGCACGACAATGCCTGGCCAGATGTGGCGAGAGCATGCAGGCAGTTCCTGGAGGATGAAGGAATTGATATCATTGTTTGGCCCCCACGCTCGCCTGACCTAAATCCAATAGAACACCTCTGGGATATTATGTTTATGGCCAGGTCTCCCTCGAAAAAGAGATTTTATCTTAAGGAACTTCCGGGTAAAATAAAGGTAAAAGAAATAAAAAGAAATAAAATGTTTCGATCCATCTGACACCGCCAGGTTGCACCTCAGACTGTCCAGGAGCTCAGTGATGCCCTGGTCCAGATCTGGGAGGAGATACCCCAGGACGCCATCCGTCATCTCATTAAGAGCATTCCCCGACATTGTCAGGCATGCATACAGGCACGCGGGGGCCATACAAATTACTGAATACCATTTTGAGTTGCTGCAATGAAGTTTCAGCAAAAGGGACTAGCCTGCTGCATATTTTTTTCACTGTAATTTTTTGGGTGTCTTTGAATTCAGCCCTCTGTAGGTTGATCATTTTCATTTCCATCAAATGATGTGGCATCCTTTGGTTCCTAACACATCCCCCAGTCCATATCAGTATAAATAAACAGCATGATTTTTTTTCCCCCATTGAGATCTGATGTGTTTTCAAAGTGTTCCTTTAATTTTTTTTGCAGAATGTGTGTGTGTGTATATATATATGATTATAGGTATAATTTAATTAATCCATGTTGTTCCTACCTCTGTTTTCAGTCTCCTCTTCTTCACTTTGATCTGACGGGCTTTTATTGTGAAGTTGACCGGAACTGGATAGGTAACCGCAGGCTGCAGGTGTCGCAGCGCCTTTAAAAAGCTGTGATTGCTCAGATCTGTTCAGTCTGACTTCAGGTTTCAGCAGAATGTCCAGCTGCTTCCTCTGGCGGCAGATCTCCTCCTCAGACCGCCGCAGTCTCTGCTCGTATTCGGCCAAAGTTTCCTTAAACAGAACGAAGATTTCCTCCGCCGCAGCTGTTAGCCGGGCGGTTAACAGGGCTCTCTGTGTCCGGAGTTTAGCAGCTTCCTTCCCGTGTTCTAGCTGCTGCAGGACGTCTTCAGCGGCGGCGCTGATTCGCTCGTGTACCGACATCCGCAGCAGCTGGAAGGAGCTCATTGCGCCGCAGTCTGAGTTCTCGGAGCCGCAGAAACCACAGAGAACCTCGGAACATGTAAACACAATCCTATGGAAAACGCTTCCGTTTAATAAATTCAAAGCATAGGAGTGAAACAGCGACCCCTGCTGGACCGGAAGAGTCCAGTATATATTTGAAAAATTATACACACACAAAAGCATTTCAACAAGCTGCAGTGGCCTAGCCAGTCTCCAGACATCAACCTTATAGAACATTTGTGTAGGGAGTTGAAGGTCCGTGTTGCCTAGTATGGAAGACCGTTTCCGCCACTCTATTAAAAAATAAAAATTATCTCATTATAATGAGATAGTGTCTAATTATAATAAGATAGTAACTCACATATAGTATCTCATTATAATGAGATAGTAACTCATATAGTATTTCATTATAATGAGATAGTAACTCAATATGAGATAATTTTTTTCTTTTTTTTTTTACAGTGGCGGAAACGGGCTTCCATAGGCTTCCATACGTAAGAGTGTTTGAGTCACTGAAAGAGAAATTGGAGGGAAGCTTTCCTAATATAGACCTTTTGAAAAGAGACAACATATTTTAAATTGATTAATAATTCAATGAATTAGTTGTCATTGCTATAAAAAAACAGTTCTATTTCAAACTTCAAATTCCAGAAATACAGAAAAATATATTGAAGAAAGATGCATGCATTTCTTTCTCACCTGGTGGATATTGAAAACCACATACATGTAAACCTGATAGACTATATATGCATTTATTGTTCTATCTGTATCTAAAAACATGACTTTGTTCTTTATTGTTTCTAGTCTATCAAAGAAGGTCCAAAGAGCCACTAGCGGTTCTAGAGCCGCAGGTTGCAGACCTGGTGGACCCTTTTGATGCAGAATCTTCTCTCACCAACCATAGTGCTTTTTTTTGTTTGCACTTTATAAGATATTCATATCAAGCAGCACCTTTTGTGAGGATGGACCAAAGATCTAATAGGAGGATGGATAAGGTGATAGAGTAACTGAAAGGAAATATTAAAATGATGGATGGGATTCATCTTTTTAAGATATCAAATAAAATCTGGAATGCCTTGTAATTTTTTTGAAGTGTTTATGATGGATTTATTGCGGAAACACTGTTTCAGGACTGCCTCGTTGAGTGTTTAGTCATCTGTCTGTGCGTTGCTCTTGTGTTTTTTGTACAGCTTGAGGCTTGTAGACCAATCTTTGGCCAACACCCTCTCCTGCTTGGTCACAGCGCTGAAGTCCAACCTCTTCAGGTGAGGCAACACCGAAACAACATGGTTCCTCAAAAACAGCAAAATGTGCACATTGGTAGACATTAGTTGCTTTTTTTTTTTAAAGATTTTTTTTAATCAATAATTCTGAGATACAACTACTTTTTTATTGTAATAATTTCTCCAATATGTTAGTTTACATAAAATAAAAGAAGCATAATAAAATAAGCATCTGATACCTACTCAGTTTGGCAAATTTGAGAATGCTAAATTTTGAAATACGTATTCCAACTTGGTTGAAAAGTGAACTACAAAAATCAGGTTTTCAGAGAGGACCATCAGAGATGACCTTTCGTCTATCTGTACAGGTCTGAGGTCGGCTAACGTCTCTGCAGACCCCACAGACCCTGGACACAAAAAGTTCAGACTTTTACTTTCATGTTCAGCCTTTCTACACCTGTTAACTGTTTGTATCTGGATAATTTATATTATCTATTAATTTCTTAATCAACTCCAAATTATTGAGGCCAGAAAGTTTCCTAACTATCAAGCAGGATTCTGGCTGAGCCACATCAGAATGGTGGTATAACCATTCCTCTGACGAAACATGCTGGCAAATTTAAAGATTGCTGTAAAGCTACTTTGACCAGGTGGTAGGATTATATCTTAGCTTTATTGTATATAGTAAAACTAAGATATAGCCTGCCCATGGATGCATTCTTGTTTGCCACCTTGCCTCTCTTTCTTGGTAACTCATGACTTTCTTGTCAAATCGCTCGACCAAGATAGACCAGGGGTTTTACTTTGCTGGAACTACGGAGACATTAAACCCCCCTAAACCTTCACCAGAGTTTGTATCTGAAACACCACTGTTGTTAAATGGGTATTAATTGTGTTATAACCATAATAATACATTCAAATAGAATTAAAATGGTTGACGGTTAAAGCAAATCACCTGTAGCCCTTGTGTTTATCAATAGCATTGCCATGCAGTGTCAGATTGTGCAGATGAGTCAGCTTGCTCAGCTTGTTCACTTCATTCAGGTAACGGATGTTGTTGCCATGAAGATACAAAATACGCAGTTCATTCAACTGACATAAAACCTGAAATGCACATACAGACACTGGTGTCAACTGCAAATATTATTTAAAGATGAAGAAATAAATAAAACAGTACATAAGGCTTAGAATTCGACAGTAAGTTGCTTATTTAAAATGAAAACAGATTGAATGTTGCAAAGACAGGTAAGAAACAAGTCGAGTCAAAAGAGGAACAGTGATTGAATCCGTAAAATGTTAATCCTGCTTAGCAAATGAGCAAATAATGAAAAAGCATTAACTGAAACCGAGTCTTACATCATCGATTCCGGTCATTTTGTTGAAGGACAAGTCGAGCCAGCCCAGCATGGATGGCTCTACCAGGAAGTGGTTCAGCGTGAATTCAAGGTCACTCAGGTCCTTGATGTTGTTGTAGTTGAGACGTAGAGCACGAGTCCGGTACTTGTTGTGCGAGTCGGTCCTTAAAGGACGCAGGCCCGGGCGGGGGTCCCTCCACGTCGCTTCTAAACAACAACCAGTCAGTCCAAATATCCAGGAAGTTTTTTTTTTTATCATCTTTTTGCCGATAAACTCATTGCTAAGCTTTGCAATATATATATACAAGCACACAAAATCATTAATGCAGCAAAGTTCCTTGAATGAAAACAGTAACAAGAAATTACCTGTGACCGTGAATAAGCCTTTGAAAGACAGATCTACAGGAGGGCCATACTCCATGTTTAGGTCCTAAAGTTACTTTAGAAACATGAATTCCGCAAATTTGAATAAATACAAGAATTTAAAAAGATCGTTTCCATGACACAAATACTCTTAAATCAGCTCTGACAACAGTTTAGCCATGGTGAAGAAGATCTACCTAGAGCCAAATTATTATTTTTTCTGTTTTTGGAGCTGATGGCCTATTATTAAGTCTTTATCCGCTAACTGCCTCCAACAACTGCTTCAGAAACAGTCTGACTTCATGATGTGTTCAGTGTCTGGGCTCAGCGTGGCCTCTAAGAGCACTGAAATGCTACCAGAGAGAAACTCCTATAAACCGTCCCTAAAAGATCAAGTTACTAACGCTCCTGTAGAAAATATAAAAAGCTTTCCATGGGAGGAGATTACTGATAAAACATCCTTTCATTTTCTTAAAGAACAGAATTAAACTTTCAACTGTCACAAGTAAAAAGCAACGAAATGAATTCTGGATTTAACCCATCCCCTTGGAGCAGTGGGCAGCCATTTTGCTGTGCCCTGTGAGCAGTGTGGGGTTAAAGTTGTAGGGAAGGGGCTGTTCCATTTCCGAATTCTCCCGAGCGGGGCCCGACTTTACATGAGTGAATAAAGGGTCTTGCTCAGGGACCCAGTGTTGCAGTCTGTGGGAGTGGGGCTTGAACTTAGAACCTCTGGATTCCAAGCGCTAAGCCCCATCCACTAGGCCACAATTTCCCTACAGCAGCTACATCTAGTCTAACCTCACGTTTTGCTGCACATTTAGGTTTTAAAACCAGACAATGTCCTGCTGTATATTATTTTTGACATATCTGCTCCCCCGTTTGCTGATTTGTTCTTATCTGATGGCATTGTGGTTTCACATACGATTTGCCTTCCATATCTGAATCAAAGTCACACAGATTGGTTGATAGCGTGACTCCTGAACATTTGCCATATAAGGTATTGTATTTTTCAGGTTTTCTGTATTGCAACCTCATCTTAGAAAGTTTTTTTAATTGTAGTAGTTTGATAAAGTACATTTTCACTCAGGCAAAACTTATTACACTTATTATTTTATGTGACAAATGGCTGCTTGGGTTGTAATTAAGCCAGAGCAGCGAAAGCACAGCAACCTTTTAGATGGTTAGCAACCGTCTGAAAGCTAAATATTTCAATAAAGCAAGAATTAAAAAGCTATAAAATGTTTCTGTTACTGTAAGAAAATGGAATCGGAGAGATTAATGCTGAAGCTTTTCTAAACTTCCCAGTTTTAGGTCAGAAACATTTTCTGAACTTTTTTTAAGAAATAAATTATTATAAACCGTTTTGAAAGCTTTGCATTTCTTTAGAAGCAGCAATTAGATGCTGAAGTAGGTTAAAAGATTCAATCTAGCTGCTTTAATTGACTGAAGAACTTGAAGTGGAGCAAATTGGCCATTTTAGAAAGCACAGGAAGCAGGCTGCTATTTGAGATCAGGATTGCAGTTTTGTACTTTTTTTCCCCAGATAAACTTCCTGTCAGCCTGGTGTGACTGTCCACCTGCCTCATCATGCAGCTCACAGCAGAAGCAACTGGGGTTGGACCTCCTCCTCTGGCTGCTGCTTTGGTTCTGTCACAGCTGGGTTCTTGGCGGCTCGTTCTCCTGCGTGGACCTTCTTGTGGGACTCCAGTGAGCGTTTTTCCTGGTAGCCCTTTCCACACACCTGGCACCTAAAGGGTTTCTCACCGGTGTGTGTCAGCATGTGCCTCTTCAGGTCGATCTTCTGCACAAAGCCCTTTTCGCAGACCTGGCAGTCAAACGCCTTTTCCTTCTTGTGGAACCGCTCGTGTGTCTCCAGCGAGATCTTCTGGCGAAAGGTTTTTCCGCACAGGCTGCATATGAACGGCTTCTCGCCCGTGTGGATCCTCATGTGGGAGTCCAGGTTGCCGATCTGCCTGAACGTCTTGCCACAGACCTTACAGGGGAAAGGCTTCTCCCCTGTGTGGATCCTCTTGTGAACGTCCAAATGTTGGCTCATGGTGAACTTCTTGCCGCAGATTTCACAGGGATAAATTCTGGGCTTCCCCCCCGTGTGGCTCTTGATGTGTCTCTTAAGGACGGTGTTTTCAATAAAAGTCTTCCCACAGAACTCGCAGATGTACGGCCTCTCGCCCGCGTGCAGCTTTAGGTGTCGCTCCAAAGAGCTTTTCCTTGGGAAATCCTTGCAGCAGTCTTTGCACCTGAATGGCTTTTGACCAGTGTGTGTCCTCATGTGGATCTCCATGTCCCTAAAGTTGTCTCCACAAATCTCGCAGACCTTCTTTATTTCTCTGTGATCCTGGATGTGGAGCTGCAGGCTCTCTGAGGACTCGGCCCGCTCTCCACAGGCGCCACAAAGGAAGTCTGGGTGGTTCAGATGTGTCTCAGTGTGCCGCAGTAGGTTCCCTTTGTTGTGAAATGCATTTCCACAGACTTTGCAGCAGTGTGTAGGAGTCAGACTTGGTTTTCTGCGTTTGCTCCTCTCGGTTCGCTGGTTGTGGTTTTGAGCATGCCGCCTCAGCTCCGACCTTGTTAGGAAGCCTCTTCCACAGTCTTTGCAGCTGAATGCCATCTGTTCACTGCTGGCCATCGTGTCTTGCTCTAATGGAACCTTGTGAACTGGATCTTCAGAGGACTTTTCTTCCATATGACTTTGCAGGTGAGTCACCATGATTTCCTTCTGACTGAAGCCTTTGTCACAGAGGTGACAGGTATATGATTTCTCACCAGTGTGCTGCCTAATGTGCGTCTCCTTTGCTCTGATTGTCGGGAACTTCTTATCACAGATGTCACAGACCTTGCAGGTGGTGCGGTGAGTTTGAAGATGCTGCTTTAGCTCGTCACTGGACTCCAAGGTTTCCGCGCACACGCCGCATCGACGCTCGTCTTCCTTTGTGTGTTTCTCCACATGTTTGATCAAAAAGCCTTTTGTGTCGAAGGATTTACTGCAGACCCTGCAGCTGTGAGATGTTTCATCCACTGCGATGGCATCGCCCCCCTCCTCCTCTGCTGTGTCATTGTCTGGAGAAGTTGCTTGCTGGTCAATCTTGGAGGCAATCTGCAGACTAGAAGTGGAACCTGGCAGCTTCTCCTCCCCTGAGATGCCAAAAGATTGACCCCTAACTCCAACAGAGAGATGCAATTCTGCAAAAACACAAACAAAAAACAAACAATGATAATACTACCCGTCATAAAGTGCAAGAAACCTTTTGCATTTAGTCAGTGGTGACGATTTTAAATGCCTTTTTCAGAATTTTTTCCCCCCCTCAATTTCTTGTGTAATCTAAAATAATAAACCAAGATAAGGAATGGAGTGTGGGGAAAATTTTATTTTACAATATATTGCAGATTTTGACTGCCTGATATATCTATCTTTAAGCTCCTATTATTGATTTTTCCCTAAAGCAGTGATTCCCAACCCCTAGTGGTCTGTGAGTGCATTGCAAGGGGTACATCAAAAATATAAAATGTTTTAGGTAGTTAAAAGAAATAGGGCTGCTTTTCTTAATGAGACCCAACTGAAAAATGAATCAAGCTTTTATCAACCAAAGAGTACGTTTTTCTTATATGTTTGAGTTCGCCTTGAGCTGTGACCCACATCAAAACTAAGCAGAGGAACAGACTGGTAAAAGCTGTTTTTCACACTGAGCTATCGGAGCTCATCAAAGCTCAAATGTCTTGTAGAAAACAAAGTAATTAAGTCAGTCATGCAGCTGCAGAACAAATAGTTACAGCTATGAAGCCCATGAAAGATGCAACTGTCGTCATGAAATGAGAGAAACTCCAACATTGTCTTCAGTTGCACCAATCCATGCCCATCTGATTGAAAGACTTCAAGAGAGCCCAGGTGACTAACATTTCAATTAGTGGAAATAATTGGAAGGGGGATAATATATAAAAAAAATCTAATCAGCAAAATTTTTGCGACCCCCATGAAGTACCTTTGTGGGCCCCCTAGGGGTCGCGGACCCCCTGTTGAAGACCCAAATCAAATAGAAACGGTGGCTCTCCATTTGACTTGATCTAAGCTGCTTTGCAAAGAAAGTTTCCATTTTCTAAATGATCACAGCTGGTAGATATAAACACGCAGCCACAATTACAGCACACCGTGTGAGCTTACGGACCTTGTCGCTCCTCTCCACGGCCTCCTCTCCCTCTCTCGGCCGCTCTGTTCACTTCAAAGGCGGAGAGGATCAGCTCCACGGCCGCTGCGACCCGCTCCATCAGCAGCCCCCGCAGCTCCTCCACCTCCGCCTGGCGGCGCTCCTCCAGCAGCCCCAAGATCCCGGAGGCTAATGCCGCCAGCTGCTGCTCTATGGAGACCTTCAGGCTGTTGCTCACTAGCCGCTTTTTTGACATTTTTTAAGAAGATTTCCAGCTGAACCAAAGAGCAAAATGTAAACAGAAGGATGAACTTCCGGGACAGAGTGAACGTCATTTCCGGGGAAAAGCGGAAACGTGTGGTTGAATTGCTGGCTACTCAGTTTAGGCTACCTTCCAAAACAAAGCGAAATTAAGTGAGTATATCACAAGATTTTAATATATTACATTGCTATTCGTCAATTATTTAAACGCCATGTTTGATGCCTCGTTGCTTCGGCGAGTTGGACACATTTACCAAACTCCCATAGAAAATCCTAATAATGCTTAAACCAAATCATGTGACGAGTTAAATACATTTAAATATATGATTTTTTTTGTTTCTTTTTTATTATTATCTTCTGCTAAGTTCGGCAAATGATTGACGTTTTAGTTAATGCAAATATGGACACTATAAGGACAATTACAGGGTTTTTATTGTCCTAACAATAATAATAATAACTTTTGTTAGTTATAAATATTGATAATAATAATGATAATAATAAATGAAAGCGGGAAATACACATTCCAACAGACTGTTTTGTTGATAAAAATGTTATTCTTTCTCAGGTGAGTTAGATTAAACTGGTGTTTGATCTCATCCTGGTATTTATTTATTGTCCATGTCAGACAGGTTGTGTCCAGGTGGTTTCATTTCACTGGATTTGATATTACTATATTTGCAATGATTTGTGTTTACGTTCTGAAAAAATGTTTTTTGTTTACATTTGTTGTTAGAAATTATTGATCATTGGAGGATTTTGATCTTCTTTTTGGCTGCATCCAACACAAGCAAATAGTTTTTTCTCCATTACTAGGAGACAAAAGTGTCAAAAGTGAAAGAGATTTATTGATCGATTAAATTTCTATTTGATACCCTGTGCAATAACCTGTTTCTCTATATCTGACACATAGTGCATGACTATATATATAAATATCCATGTGCAATAATCCTGTTTAATAATCCTGCTATAAATCCTTTAAATAATAAGTTGTATAACTTATCTCTTACAACTTAATTCAGACTATTCACTATTCATGTTTAAGAGTCATGAATATGGTGGGGGAAGCTTTGGCTGTTGGTTAATGCTGAAATTGCTGCTTTCGGGTTCTTATGCCACTTTCTGTTCTGTGTTTTAGCGCTGCTTCAAGAATCAACTGACACCTCGAAGCAGCCTATATGGCTCAACAGAAGAAAAAGAAGAATCACAAAAAGGGCATACCTGATCGGTGGCTGGACTACTGCCCTGTAGGGCGGAGGATACCAGGAACTAGATTTATTGCCTTCAAGGTTCCTTTAAAACCATCCTTAAATTGTCAAGTTCCAGATTCTCAGTCTTTCAGTCTGTGGGACCTCTTGGACTCTGTGGGACGGCAAAACCAAGAGCTGGGTCTGATCGTGGATCTCACCTTTACCACGAGGTACTACTCGGTGGAAGACGTCCCACAGTCCTGCTCCTACATCAAGATCTTCACAGAGGGTCACAGAGTTCCCTCTGATTCTACCATCCTCGACTTTAAGCGGGCGGTGAAGCAGTTCCTGAATGAGAACCAAAACAACAACAAGTTAATCGGAGTCCACTGCACTCACGGCCTGAACCGTACGGGATACCTGATTTGCAGATACCTGATCGATGTGGACGGGGTTGATCCTGAAGCGGCTCTGGAGCTCTTCAATAGCAGCAGAGGTCACTGCATTGAGAGGAAGAACTACATCCATGATCTCAAGAAGGTCGCCAAGAGAAGCAATGAAGGCATCGACAAGCCAGACAAAAGTCCTATCGGCGGGCTCGCTGTGGAGAACAGACCACTGACGAACATAAAGCAGGAGAAGGCGGAGATTAATACCGCAGCACAGGACGCCGAAGCCTCTGCTGATGACTCAGCAGAAAATAAACAACCCAATGAGAAGGAAGCGCCCCAAAAACGAACCAAAAGCAGAGGAAGACGTCGGCCAAAAAAGGGAGAAAAGAAGTCTTTGGATGGATGTACCCAAGATGCGCTGCCTACCACCTGAGCAGAGCAGAAGATAAAACAGAGAGTTTATAAAACTGAGCTCAAGTTAATTCAGCCAAGAAGACAGAAACAAAAGTACATTTTATTTTTATTTTTTTACCATTTCTTTGCCAGCATTTGCTTCCTGCCTAAATAATAATAAAATTTAAAGAAATCTTTACCTAATATATTGAAAGGCTGAATGTTATGATTTTATCTGCTTATTTCTAATGTATCATTTACTCTTAGTTTAGACCCCGAGCAGCACGTCGGCTCACAGGACGAATTATTTTCAGCACAAGGTGACTTTCTTTGACAGGAAAAAAGTAAACTTATGTGTTCTGTTTTAATGAATGAATTAACAAATATTTTTTTAGTCGGAGGTTTCAGATAATTTTTTTGATACAAAATATTTTTAATATAATTCAGCCAGTTTATATTTAAAGAAGCTCAATATTGGTTGTGTTTTAAAAGATCAATAAAGTTTGTTTGGTTATTGAAATTAAATGTTTCTGGTTTTATTAAAAAATATTGGCTACTGTGTGATTAAAAGGTTCAGAACTACAGTTATTCAGACTTAAAAGATGTTTATATCAAAAGAAACCACACATTCATCCACCTTTGCCTGCTTATTCTGTCAGGGTTGCGGTGGGTCGGTGCCTTTCCCCGTCAGTCTAAGGGTGAGAGGCAGGTGCACCCTGGACAGGTCGCCAGTCTGTCGCAGGGCAACACAGAGACATAGGAAGACGTACAACAATGCACACACACTCACACCTAAGGACTAAAAGAAACCAGAATTTCTAACTCAAAGATCTCGTTTTCTTTAATTTTTCAAAGGCTGAAATTTTGCTTCTCACAGCTGAAGCTCTGATCAGAGACATTTTGCTTCAGCTGAATTAATAATGGAGCGAATTATTAATGGAGTCTAAATGCTGCACTCAGAGTTAGGAACTACCAAGTGTTCCTCTAGGTTCATGTAAAGTTTAGCTGACCTATCGCTCAGGTGGAACCTTACATGACGTCTGCTAGAAAGACGTAAATACAAATATTAAAGCATGTTTGGCTCCCTCCTCAATCTAGATAATGTATTTATTTTATTGCCAAGATCTTTAACCTAATGCATTTTTTTCTCATCTGTGATCTAAAATGAGACTTTTTGTTAATAGAGGTTCTAAGAAAACTCCCTGTCACCATATTGGTTTAAGACTCAGCATGTTTTTTAGTTTGTTTTAAATTTCTTGGGTCTATCCTTTGCTCATAGGGGTCCGATGCCCAGATCCACTTGTCAGAGGCCCCAGAATTAAACAAACTGTTTCATTAGCGGATGACTAATGGAAAAAGGCCTTTGATGTTCTCCACAGAAACAGCTTATTAAATGATTATGAACAATGATGACAATGATTGATGTCCATGACTTTGCTACTTATGTGTTCTTAAGTTTCTTTAGATCAGGGCTTAATCTGTTGATGTTTGCCATTTAGGAGTCTACTTCGCGCTGTCAGGCAAGTTCTAGTTGGAAGATTTCCAGACTCGGCAGGTCTGGCAGTAATTCACTGAGTAAAAAAAAACCTAATAATTCACAGCTGAGTAAATGAACTGTCATTAGATTTATTAAATACGGCAATATTGGTTCGGATGATTTTTTTTAAATTTATTTAACTCAAAATAAGAAAAATGTTATAATCATCGCAACATTTGTTTTAGGATCTCAATATTTTTTTTTAACAGCACTGTATTTGATAACTTACTGAAGTCTGAAAAAGATAAAAATGTGCCTCAATAGCCCTAAAAAAGTATCTGTTAAGGGGTTTTAATGCAGAACCAAATTTCCACTGCATCAAGCTGACTTCAAATAGACATTTTAATTTTTTTTTTCATAAAAAAATAGATAAAAAACTGTTGTTAGATTTTACATAAAGGACAAGGACAATTTCTGAATGGAAAGAAAAATTGGGTCATCTTAGCTCCTGGAGAAACAGCAGCAATGATCCTTTCCTACGGAAACGTACGTCAGTTTTCTGGCCATTAAAGTCAGGGAAATTTTGCTAACATCCATCTAATAAAGTCTTAAAGCTTCTCTTGATATCACTACTCTTGCTTGAGTAAATTTTCTGGATACTCCATCCACTGTGAGTGACTTTACTTACTTTTACTATTTACTTAATGAAAACAAGCTTGTTTTAAACTAATTTGCACCACTGAGAGACAAACTTTCTTATTTTTCATAATGCACTAGAAAAAAAATTATAAGCAACTTTATTCATAAGAAAAGAGCACAGCTTTTTCAGGGCTCTGCAATGTGGCGTTTGTGGCTGATTTACAATACTTGCCCTAGATTCTGTGTGTGTTTGTGCGTGTGTAATTCATGTGTTATTCCCCCCCTTAAAATTAATCACTGGTTTCTCCTAACCTCACAGCAATCTACCCACTACCTGCAGCTCAATTCACCCACAGACACCCGTAATTCCTAGACCGGACAGCAGCCGAGATTTTTCCAAGGTTAGGCTTTATTAAAAGTTAATAATCAGTCAGGTTGACTACAGCTACCTACAGTATATATGAGGGATAGAATACTGATCCACTGTCCACTATCTATTTGAACCCCAGTCGGCCTCACATGATGGCCGCTTGCTCTAAGCCATGTTCTGTTGGAGGATTCTTTCTGTTAAGAGGGAGTTTTCCTCTCCACTGTCGCAACAAGCATGCGTTTTGTGAGGCAGGGATATTATTTTCGGAGTCTGATCAGGAAATGGACTAGTTGATTCGTAAGATCAGGACCTTATTGCAGCAGGGAGTTTAAGGGAGTCACCTGTAATGTGGCCCCACAGTCAAACACAACCTTAAGTTTTTGTTTTTTTAGGTGATAAAAGAGTTGTTGATGGTGAGCTGACGGTGGGACACTTTACCCCGGACCAGCTCAGTTGCTGGGCCTCTCTCGTTCCCGATCTATGGTTGGTGTCTACACTTACCCGGGGTTTCACCCAACAGTTCCGCCGCCGCCTTCATGTTCCTGGTCGAGTCAGGATGAAGGTGATCCATGACGAGATAAAGGCTCAGACTCTGAGCCAAGACATAGATGCCTTGCTGGCCAAGGGTGCTATATTGCCTGTCGACCCCCTACGGGTTCCAGGGGGAGTTTACTCAAGGTATTTTTTATTCCCAAAAAAGACTCTCTGACTCTGCCTGATTTTGGACCTGATAAGTGTGAATGTTTTCTTGAAGACGTCCCCCTTCCACATGTTGAGCATAAGGGATGTGCTTCAGACAATCTCCCCAGGCGGCTGGTTCACCTTGGTTGACTTGAGGGGCACATACTTTCATGTCCCCATTGCACCACATCATTGGCAGTTTTGCCGTTTTGCATTTCAGGGCAAGTATTTTCAATTTAGAGTTCTTTCATTTGGTCCCTCTCTGTCCCCACGTGTCAGATCCAAGAAATGTAACATGAAAGATGTAAGACCACATACGCAACATTTTGGTGTCAGTACCAGTACCAACATCTTTTTTTATCCTTTTTGGTACCTTTTTTCAAATAAAAAGAGAGAACACACACAAAATTTACCGACTATTTTAATAAAAGAGAAATCCTGAAACAATAGCACGCAAATCAGCAAATAAAACAAATACAAGCTTTTCTAATGCATGCATTTTTTAATATAAACAAATTAAATCTTAAATGATTCAAAGCACTAACATTTTCTTAGTGCACTCAAACTACTTTAGAACAGTGAGTGAAGTGCATGGAGCTTGTGTAGTTCTGACATAACGTGATCAGCTTAAACTAATGACACAGGAGAGCAATTTAAAGCAGAGAAAAGACTGCTCTCTGTATTTAAGCAGAGATTTATTTTAGTTTTAGATTAAAATCCTGCAAGATCAACTTTGCGCATATGGAAACGCAGTGGAATGGCTCTCTCTTCTCTCAGTAAAGAAGCTGCAGGCTGAAGCCAATGTCTTCAGTCATGATTTCATTAATTGTGTCGATAATCAGTGACATTAGTTACCGACCATTGTTACAAAGTATAGTTAGTTAGCTAGTATGACATGAATGTATTCAGTTCTACATACAGATACAGAAAGAGTTTTGGTTCATTAGTCCCTAATTGTTCATATATCATTATCTGCTTAGTGATATTAGAGAATAGGGATCTGTCTAACAGTTTTCACAACCTAACCCATGCACACTTTGTAGAGAGCACTGCTGCTCAGAATGACCTTAAAATGCGGACTTATTTTTACGACCAGAACCTACCTTCACCTTCCAGTGATTGATGAGGTCTGCAGAATCTAGAAGGATGCATTTAACTTGAGTGACTTGTTTTCTCTTTTATGTAATTGGCATAAAAAGAAGTAAATGCTATCATTTAGATCAGGTATTCTCATTATTTTACAATTGAGTCGTACAGTGATGGCTGTGCTTGTATGCATGCAGTGGTTTACGAAAACAGCTTATAAATGGATCTTTTTTACTGACTCAGATGGAGGCTTTTCACCAAACATACCAGCAGGGAGCAGCACCAGACCTGTTTCTCTGAACAAAGAAAAGCAGAAGTGTGAGTAATACAATTAACACAAGCTCATTATTTTTCTTATTCTTACTCCCGTGTGTTTTAAAATAGTTTTACATCACATTCCTTCCCTTTTTCCCCTTAAAGGTTGTGTTTGCCAAGGGTGACAGGTGTTTCATATTGCAGGTAATCCATTTATAATTTTCTTAAACACAAAGCACATAACAATGCTGAATACAAGACCTCCACACCAGATGAATTAAGACATAAGGGAAATACATTAGGATGTTTGTTGCCATTAATTTTTAATGTCTCCCAATTTCTCCCAATTTATGCCTTGATGATTGGAATGATTATCGTTTAATATGTTTTGTTTTGCCTATCTTACATTTTACAGTTGTCAGCATGCATGCTCTCTGAGATCCTCAGGTAAGTTGTACTACTGGAAGGAGATCAGGCATACCTAACACTTGCTCTGGTATGCACCACCTTCAGAGACATCGTGTCCGCTCTAGGTTTCAGTAGTTCGGCACATTTTCAGTGCTGTAATAAAGGTTACAGTGGTATTGTTTAATCATATTTTTACCAGCTCTATGGAAATGTTCGCTGTTGCTGTATAATATGTTTTTACAGGTGTTGCTAATTGGGGCAGGTTTTCTGCACTATACACAGCATTGAGAACGGCCATGGATGCAGAAATCTGTACAAAAACAACACACACCTGGTATATATATTTTAAAATATATAGTCTTTAGTGTATATTGTTCCAAACTGTATTTTTGTAAATAGTAATTTACCGGATACGTAGTGTAATGGCCATTGGTCAAAGCAATTTTTCTTTTTTGTTATTTCATTTTGTAAGAAAGTTTCCTACAGGATATGTTGGGAAAGGAAAAAGGGAAATGTTGCAAGGTATTTACTCTGAAGATCCGAATTCTGGATACTGCAATGATTTCTTCAGCCAAATGCAATACTGTAGTTAAACATAAGTTAGGTACC